TTTTTTTTTTTTTTTTTTTTTTTCCCCTATACTAATGTTTCCTCCATTAATGTGACGCTTTGTTTAAGGTACCAACCTCCGTTGTGTGGTGTCCCTTTTGATTTGCTTTTTTTTTTTTGTGTTTTTTTTGTTTTCACTTGATCGCCTTTCGTTTGGCCGCCCCCCTTGTGCGTGACGGCAATAGGAGGGCGGTGGAATTTTTTCTGCGGGGTGTGTTGAAGACGCTTCACTGGGTGTGCTAGGTGGAAGAGCGGCAAGGGCAGGTACTCTACAGAAGCGCTGCGCAGACGTGCCTCACACACGTGCTGCGTTGTCGCCTCGCCACCTCACGGCCTCACCACGTCGCCGCTTATATATGTAGCATGCCAGCATGGGGAGTGGTACAAATGAGGACAATGAGGCGAAGCCCCCCGGAGGGCCCTGCGGACAACTGGGGGGAGCCCAAGTAGGAGTGAGCGATAAAGCCAAGTTTGATGTGGACATGGAGGGATGTAAATCTGTGGAGGAGGATTGCTCAAGGGAGGAATCACACAAGGGGTGCAGCTGTGGTGGCTCTCCTAGAAGAAGCACTACTGGGAAAAGCGACCACGCTAGAGAGGACTATACGCAGGATAACACGGACACCCAGAGTGATGAAGAGGAAAGGCACTTTTGTAACGTTTGTTTTTCCTTCTTGTATTATAAAAAGTATTGTTTTTACGAACTCCTAAGGATATATCGCAACGTGTCCTCTCTAACCCCCGAGCAGAAGACTCTCCTCACTGAATCCATATACAGCAAGCTGTATAAAATGTACTTGGCTGTTTTGAATAATTATTTTTTTATTATGAACATTTTGCTGCCTCAAATTTCCACGCATATAATTTTGCACCTCCTGGCACACACCGTTCACCGGGGGGACGTAGTCATCGTGGAGGACTCGGGCAGCGACGGGGAGGGAACGAGTGAAGAGGAAAGTCGAGGCGGGGGTGGAAGTGGGAGTGGAAGCGGAAGTGGCGTGGACGACGCCAGCTACAGTAGCAACGCAGAGGGGGGCCCCTCCGAGCGAAAGAGCAGCGTGGATGGTGAACAGAAGAATACCGTGCAGCAGGAAAAAACGACAAAGAAGAGGAGGAAACGAATCCCTAGGGAAGAATACACCATTAACGAAATACTAAATCATTTAACTAAAGAGGAGAAGGACAAGATCGACCAACAATATAACTTTCACAACTTAGATGCAAGGTTACTCTGCAAAGACAATCCCATTGTTATATTAAAAGAAATCAGGTGCAAATTAATGAGTGCACAAGAGGAGGAAGGGATGTCGAGGGAGCTTGAGTTGAACCTGGAGAGGTCGACCTCCATGGACTACCTCGACGTGGGATACGCCAGTGGGAGGAAAATGCGTGCAAGGGATGAAACAAGTGCGAACCTGTTGGGGATCTCATCGCTGTTTCCTCAGGAGGAGCGACACAGACAAAGCCTACCCGTCCCGGAGCAACACAGCGGGAAACGTGACACGGGGCAAGGGGCGCAACAGGGGGATACTGCCAAAGGGAAAGGCAAATCTGAAGACGGTCGTTATGGGGGCGGCCCCCAGAAGAAGTTTGCAATGGGCCGAGAGGGAGACGTTGAAGTGTACATCGCAGACCACCGCAAGGAGAACAGTGAGTACGCGTTCCCGCGCCTGGACGCAGTGCCGGGGGAGGTGCGGCTTGGTGAATGGCGCGCGGGAGATGAAGCAGGGGAAGGGGAGACCGCTGCAGAGCCAGATAGGGACGCCTCACGTAGGGCAACTCCCCCGGGAGGAGAGCACATACCCCCCGGACGTCGCATCACAAGCGCGTACAGCCCCACGCTCGACGAATACAATCTTCTGCAAAATATGAGCAAAGTGAGAAGTACACTAAGACAATTCGTTCGAGACTGGTCCATGGAAGGAAAGCATGAAAGAGATAGTGCATACGAACCCATGTTAAAAAGTTTAGCCAAGTACCTACCCATAAAAGACGATTATGTGCCTAAGGTGCTTTGCCCAGGATCAGGATTAGGAAGACTTCCATACGAAGTGGCAAAAAAAGGGTATAGAAGCCAAGGGAATGAGTTCTCCTACTTCATGCTCCTTGCATCTAATTTTATCCTCAACTACTACAATGAAAAGGAGTCACTCAAAATTCAACCCTATTGCCTGAACACACTGAACAGAAGAAAACGGGATGACCACCTCAAGGTTGTTACTCTACCAGATATAAATACATATGACAAGGCCATCCTAAGTACCGACTTTTCCATGTGTGCAGGTGAATTAGTAGAAGTGTATGACCATGAGAAGGGATCGTTTGACGGAGTACTCACTTGTTTTTTCATGGACACAGCTAAAAATATTTTTTTATACATTCGAACCTTTGCTAATATTTTAAAGCCAAACTCCTTGTGGTGTAATGTCGGCCCTCTCCTCTACCACTACTCTGAAATGACCAACGAGCTGTCCATCGAGTTATCGTGGGAGGAGATTGAGGTGATCATTTCGAAATGGTTCACTCTTGTGGAGATTGACTGGATTGACAATTATTATACAACCAATGTTGACTCCATGATGCAGGTGCAGTACCACTGCATCTTCTTTTGCGCCATTCGAAATGATGTACCTGTGGAGGACCCGCCCAAGGGCGACCCTCTTCAGGGGGGTTAGCACGGAAACAATAAAAACAAAAAAACTAACAAATTATCGCCTGTTTTGTAAGTGCCCTGTCGCCGGAGTGTGCATATGTATATGTATATATGTATATATTTTTTTTTTTTTCCTAAAAACCCCCCCACACTTGCGTGAATGCTCAAGCACGCATTTCCGTGTAAGACCATTTGCGATGTTTTTGTGAACCGATTTTTACCCCCTCCGTTTGGTAACACTGCAAACGATTTGGCAACAATGTGCGTCATTGTCCCGCCTCTTAGCGGGGTTGACATATGTCCTCCCCCCACCCCCATCATTAGCCCGACTTGGAACCAGTTCAATCAGATTGTGATGCATGAAAAATTATCCTCATGATTTTTTATAACTCTTTCGGATGAGCTGGGTTATGGTATCATCATATTGAATTGGTTCACTTCGGGGCATGGGGACCATTTTTGCTTCCTGGCCGGCCATGTGCTGGTGCAGGGGCAGGTTACGGTGAATTCGTTTGGGAAAAAATGGGCACAAGAGTGGGGCATCGTATTATGCCCACGTCAACGCTCATCACAGTTGTTCAAATGTTTCTACCGCTTAGCTTACGAGCGGTTCAACCTTATATGCATGCGATACGGAGGCCAAAAAGGGGGGGAAATTCAATGTGGCCCATTTTTGTACGAAATTATGTTAATAAAAGGGGCACCCCCTTCTCATTTCATTCGGTAACAGTAAGCGCTGTGAAGCGCAGCAAGTGGAAGAAAGAAAAGAAATTAAAATGCAAATTCAAACATAAATTAAAAATTTTTTTTTTAAAATATTAAAAATAAATTTAAAAAAAAAATTTTTACATGAATTAATAAAAAAAAATATAAAATCACAATATCTTTTCTGCAGTTCCATTCCCATTTTTGAGTCGCAAAATGCCGAAGGGCATCATCCCGTGGCGCAAAAAAAACAAAAAACAAAAAAAAAAAAAAAAAAAAAAAAAAAAGGGAAAAAAACAAAAAACAAAAAAAAAAAAAAAAAAAAAAAAAAAAAAAAAAAAAAAAAAAAAGGTGAACGCTGCTGAATTCGCTTGATGGCTAGCCCGAAGAGCATACAAAAGGTTTACACAACTAATAAAAGTAGAGGTATGCTTAAGTCAGCCCCCATGGGCGCTAGGCCTATGGCCGGGAACACGGGTCAATCTATAACGCGCCCCCGCACGTTTTCACGTATTCGCTGTACGCACCACTTTGGAGGGGCATACCGAAACTGCTGACAAGCCAAAATGGAAAAAAAAAAAAAAAAAAAAAAATCGAAAAAAGCTACCCACATAGCAAAAAAAAAAAAATAATCGAAAAAAAGTCTGCCCCTGTTGGCGAAAAACACAAAACACAAAACACATTTTAACCCTCTCTCAAAAAAAAAAGAGAGAAAAAAAAAAAACTCCCTTTTAACAAGGACAAGCCCGATTTTACACAAACCTGCAACTACACCTTTTACAAATTTACTTATTCGTAAAAGCAGCATCACTCTCCTCAAACCTCTGTTAAATAAAACGGATTGACTCTAACCATGTGCGGCATCCTAGCCATTTTCCACTCGTCCATTGAAAGGCACCGACTGCGTAGGAAGGCCCTGGAGTTGTCAAAGAAGTACTGAGCGAGCGATGAGTGCTGGCCACGCCACGGCGGTGCGAATGAACTTTCTCATTGCGTGTTCGTGTAGTTGTAAATGGGCATGCAACGATTGTGTGGTATATTCGCGGTGGTGGTGATGGGGGGGGCGAGTTAGTCGTTTTCGCTTATTCACGAACCCGTTTTGCGTGCGTGGGTTTTGAATCAAACAGAGTGGGCACCCCCAAATGGGGGACACGGTACACAGGTGTGTACATGTTTTATATGTACACATGAACTTGCTCATTGTTTGGCAACGTACAGTAGGCTGCTTTTTTGCTCCCCACCCTACGCGTCACTTATTTATGTGGCCAGTTAGACAGTCCAAGGAGTGGACAAGACACTCCTTCCGTTCTCGTCTGCCTAAACGAGTGAATAGTGTTATATCTACCAAATGTTTGTGATTGTATGCGAATGATTTGTTAAAGGTTCATGGGCGGTGCTGCCTCCGTGCGAAGGGGTAGCTTTGCGTTGTGCCACTGAGTGGACACCATCCCGCGCCGCTTGCACGCGCCGACACCCCGCTTCGCTTCACTTCACTTTTGCGCAGGCTGAGGCACCGGGGCCCCGACTGGAACGGAATCGTGGTTGAGGATAATGAGGACGGAACGACAAACGTGCTGGCGCACGAACGGCTGGCCATTGTCGACGTGCTCTCGGGTCACCAGCCCCTCTACGACGACGCCAAGGAAGTGTGTCTCACAATAAACGGAGAGATCTACAACCACCTGGAGTTGCGAAAGCTCCTTCCTGAAGACACCATAAAAAATTTAACGAGCCAATCTGATTGTGCAGTGATTCCGAACCTGTACAAAAAGTATACTCATAAAATGCCATCCATGTTGAATGGAATTTTTGCTGGAGTTATAAGTGATAATAAGAAGAACACATTTTTTGCGTTCAGAGATCCTATAGGAGTTTGTCCTTTGTATATAGGATACGCATCTGATGGGTCCATTTGGTTTGCCTCGGAGTTTAAAGCACTAAAGGATAGCTGTGTTAGGTATGTGAACTTTCCTCCTGCGCATTATTACATCAACTGCAAAAATAAGGGGGAGTTCGTTCGTTACTTTAATCCTAACTGGTGGGAGCTAAGTGCTCCTATCCCCAACAATAAAGCCGACTTAGAACAGATTCGAGTGCACCTGGAGAAGGCTGTGGTGAAGAGGCTCATGGGGGATGTGCCCTTCGGGGTATTACTCTCCGGGGGGCTGGACTCTTCCATCGTGGCCGCGATAATTTGCAGACATTTGAAGAAGATCCACGGAGGGGAAAGTGGGACAAGTGCAACTCACCTCAGCAATAACGATGACGGTGGCAAAAATTCCACCGCTGCTTCTGTCCATCTGAAGAGCTTCTCCATCGGGTTGCGTAATTCGCCTGACTTGAAGGCCGCAAGAGAGGTTGCAAATTTTTTGGGGAGTCAACACACGGAGTTCCACTTTACCGTGGAGGAAGGAGTAGATTCACTGCACGATGTGATTTATCACATTGAAACGTACGACATTACAACCATCCGTGCATCGACCCCCATGTACATTCTTTCACGACTGATCAAAAGCAGTTGCGTGAAAATGGTTCTAAGTGGAGAAGGGGCGGACGAAATATTTGGAGGGTACCTCTACTTTCATAAGGCTCCTAACCGAGAAGAGTTTCACCGAGAGTTACAAAGGAAGGTGCATGACTTGCACATGTATGACTGTTTGAGGGCAAACAAATCTACCATGGCCTTTGGGATCGAAGCACGTGTTCCCTTCCTCGATCTTAACCTCTTAGATGTAGTAATGAATATTGACCCAAAAGAAAAAATGTGTTCAGAGGGACATATAGAAAAGGAAATTTTAAGACGCGCTTTCGCTGGCTATTTGCCTGACCATATTTTGTACAGGCAAAAGGAACAATTCTCTGATGGGGTTGGTTACAATTGGATTGATGGTTTGAAGGAGTATGCAGAGAGTAAAATTTCAGACATACAATTTTCACGCGCACCTTTTTTATTTCCATATAATACACCCAAGACGAAGGAGGCCTATTTGTACAGGTGCATTTTTTCTGAGTGTTTTCCGGAACAGTGTGCACAGGAGTCTGTGCCCGAGGGGTCCTCCATCGCCTGTTCATCAAGCAAGGCGGTCGAATGGGATGCGTCATTTAAGCAAAACCCAGATCAGTCGGGCAGGTCCGTGCTCGGTGTGCACCACAGCTCGAAGCAGTTCTCCGACGTGAAGCCTGTCCAGCTGCCCGACGATGAGAGCAAGGCGCTCCTCTCAAGCGCAAGCTGATTGGTCAGAACAAAAATATGGTCACTTTGCACCAACTGGTTGGGTGGAAGTGTGGCCCACTTGTTATGATTGCCTGGTGGCTACGTATGCAGGCGTCTATTTTTTTTTGCAGGGGATCCCCTTTTTCCCAGTCACCGCAACGTACCCATGTGTACATATATACATATGTATATTGTTGCAGCGGTGCAACATAAGATGGGAGGGACGCACACACGCACAATTGTATGCACTGCGAAAAAAACGTGGATGGATCCACCACCCACCCCTTTCCTAAACTTATGACGTACTTTAATTTTTACCTGAATGGTAAATAAGCATGTTTTGTACAAACCCAAATGGGTGAACTTTTTGTTTTTTTTTTTTTTTTTTAACCTTTTTTGCATGCCTGAACATTTTTCCCCTATGCACTGTGGGAACAATTCAATTTGGGTTTGCCGTTTGTCACTTGGGGAAGCGAGAATTGCACGGCATATTCGATGCTCTGTGGGTGTAGCAAAATAATGTGCGCACTTTTTTCGTGCCATACTTATACAATAAAGGTAGGGGAAGCCTTTTCTGCAAAAAAAAAACGCACAGGGTGTTGTTCCTCCTTAGCCAAGCGCTTTCCTCGAAAAAGTAGCCAAAATTTTTTTTTGTGTTTTTTTTTTACCTGACTGGTTCAGGCAATTTAATCCTTATTTTGCGTAAGCCGTGGGGATAAACACCATAAAGGTACATATGAGATACGTATGAGGGCTTCGTTTCCTTTGCAGCGACGGTATTCTCCTTTTTGGCTTTACGTTCGAAAGTTCCAAAGTGCGTTGACGCATTCACTATATATATGCCCCCCAAGCGTGCTTCCATTTTTGCCAACCCCTCGGTAAGGTACAGAAAAAAAAAAAAAAGCTTCTTACAAATCTTTGCGCACCTTTGGATTTGCCACAGTTTTTTGCAGGCATCCCCCTTTCTATACTGCACTTTGAACACTGCGATTGGTAGCGAATAAAAAAAAATGGTAGCCCATATATTTTTCCTCTTAAATTTTGTTTAAGCTTGCCCCCTTTCTTTTTCGCCGCGCGCCGCTACTTAGAGGTTTGCCAAGAAGTTATTCGCACGGGGGCGAACGGAACTGGATCCGTTTTTTTTATTTTGCCATTTTTTATGGGCACATGATGCATGCGCATACTTTATACGTACATGTACGCTTCTGGAGTATGCCGGGGTGATATGTGCATATTACGCTTCCTGCGCTTCTAGTGTATATGTGGCGTAGGTTGCGTGTCGTGGATATGGGAAAATATACTTCGCTGTTCCATCCGAGGGGGCAAAGGTGTTTTTACGAGGTACCGACGAGTTGTCAATTGGGGTGCACGTAACAGTCACGTGGCAGCTGATGAGCAGATTCACATATGCGCATCGTCGCTGCGTTAACGTGTTTCTTTTTCCCCCAGTGTTGGCAAATCTCTCTTCCGCTGAGTATGCATTTTTCATATGGCGGCTCTTCTTTGCTGTTTTTTTTTTTATGCCACGTGAAGCAAACGTTCAACGCTCCTATCGCAACTTGGCAAATAAAAAAAAAACACTGTGCTATTTTTACGTAACAAAATTATTTTTATTAAGGTACCTTTTTTTTTGCTCATCCTCATCGCAAGGTTTTTCCCCATTGCAAGATTTTTTTTTTTTTTTTTTTTTTTTTTTCTTTTCCTCCACTTCAGCCAACAGCAATAAGCTGCAGATATAAAGAGGAAACCAAATCTGTGATTTCTCTTGTGCCTCATTTTTTACGGCATTTTTTACGGCATTTTTTACGGCATTTTTTTCGTCCACACTGTTTTACGCTTATATTTTTCCTGGCCCCTTTGGGAAAAACAATCTTTTAACTGTAAATTATTACAAACAGGTAAGCAGAGATTATAAAAGAGTGAGCCCGCCGTTCGGCATACCAAAACAAAAAAAAAAAAAAAAGCGTATGCGTTGAAGGCGTTTGTGAGTACGTGATAATGCGCATGGATTGGCGTCAAACGGATTATTTGGAAGAGTGAATTGTAGAAGTACGCCTGTTCCATTGTGACCTTTCCCCACGTGACTGTGGTACTGCGCTGCTGGGCGACTGCGCCGAGGAGTGGTGGGCTCCCCTCCCCCCCGCATAAACGGGCGATCTTGGGGCCCCCCTGCATCATCCTCCTACATCCGCCTGACTCCGGATCAATTAAGCAGCAGTGAGCACATTTCCCCCCCCTTTCCCGTATTTCCTATGTCACCGCTCCTTCCCTAACGCAGCTACTGTTACATAACAAAATGGCAATGAAATACGTCGCGGCGTACCTCATGTGTGTTTTGGGAGGCAATGAAAATCCCACTGCAAAGGAAGTGAAGAAGGTTCTGGGTGCAGTGAACGCAGGAGTAGAGGATGAAGTACTGTCAAGCCTGATGGACTCACTGAATGGAAAATGTTACCATGAGTTAATTTCTGAAGGAATGAAAAAGTTACAAAATCTTGGTGGTGGTGGAGGCGGAGCTGCTGCCGTAGCAACAGCTGATACGGCTGCTGTCAAGGCCGAGGAGAAGAAGGAAGAGAAGAAGGAAGAGGAAGAAGAAGAGGAAGATGACTTAGGATTTTCGCTCTTTGGTTAAGCATGTTTATACGGTTGTGTGTACGTGTAACGGTAGGAGTGTAGTTGTATGTGTAACGCTTCTCTCTCCTTCCTGGCAATCCCACAAACGTGAACAGCCAAACGAAGCAAACCCCTTCTCTATCCGTTTCATGCGAGTTGCCCAGGTGCGCGTGGATGTACATATATATATATATATATATATATAGCTTAGCCTTTCGTTTTATTGCACAGCATATTTTATGGTGTTTTCTCCCATCGTGTTTTATATTTTATCGTCTTTTTTCTCTGCGAACTTGTGCGTGTTTCTTTCTCTTTTTTCTACTCTACTTCTTTCTTTCTTTTTTTCCTTTTTTTTTTTTTTTTTTTTTTTTTTTT